AGATTGCTAACCACAAAACTGGCAGTTCAAACCCACCAGCCACTCCTCGGAAACTCTATACTGGGTTGTTTTGAGTTGGAACCGACTTGACAGCACTAACAACAACACATATGTGTATACATGTGTGTATACATATGTGTATACATATGTGTATACATATGTGTATACATAACACACGTGTATACATAACATATGTGTATACATATGTGTATACATGTGTATACATGTGTATACATATGTGCATACATATGTGCATACATATGTGTTGTTGTTGTTAGGTGCAGTGGAGTCGGTTCTGGCTCACAGTGCCCCTGTGTATAGCAGAACTGCTACACCTGTGTCCCACAGATTTGGATTGCTGCATTTTCATTTTAATTCAATGTAATTTGTCCCTTGAGATTCCCTCTTTGATCAACAAATTATGTAGAAACGTGTTGTTTAGTTTCCTAGTGTTTGGAAAGTTTGTTTATCTTTCTGTTATGTGTTTATAGTTTAATATCATTGTATTCAGTGAACACATTCTGTATAATTACAATCTTTTAAAATTTATTTTGTTTCATGGTCCAGGACATGACCTATGTTCCCTGTTGCTGTTAGGTGCCAATGAATTGGTTCTGATTCATAGCGACGCTGTATAGGGTTTCTGAGGCTGTAAATCTTTGTGGAGGCAGAAAGCCTTATTGTTCCCCTATGGAGTAGCTGGTGGGCCTGAACTGGCAGCCTTGTGGTTTGTACTTCAGCGCTTATCCTACAGACCCACCATGTTGTTGTTGTTAAGTGCCGTCGAGTTGGTTCTGACTCAAAGTGACCCAGTATAGGGTTTCTGAGGAGAAGCTGGTGGGTTTGAACTGCTGACCTTGTGGTTCACAGACCAGAAGTCCAGAAGTTCCCTTGTTGTTGTTAAATGCTGTTGAGTTGATTCCGACCCATAGCAACCCTGTATATTGGGTTTCCAAGGAGCAGCTGGTGAGCTTGAACCACCAACCTTGCAGTTCAAATGACTTTGCAGTCTGATGCATTAGCCCACAGCGCCACACTAGGACTCTGGGTACTTGAAATTTCTATCGTTCTGTGTTCCAGTTCAGTAATTCTTTCATTTGTCCCTTCCATTCTGTTGTCTGAACCCATTCACTGGGTTTTAAAAGTAATATATTATCTATTTTATTCAAACAGCAGTTTGACCAGACATGGTCCAAGAACAAATAGTAGAATAATTATAATCAAATGTTAAAGATGGTCTTCAAACTTCAGAGCTAATGATAATACGCTTGCCTATGATCTTGCTGATATAAAACCACATCCACACTTCAGTGGCCACCAAATCATTCAGCAGAGCTTCCTTAACTGTGAGCTATTTTGGAGTTATCAGTTTGAACACTATTATTATTTATTATTATTATTATTTTTCAGTCTCTGAATAGCTACAGAGATCTCAGCAGGGCTTGGAGGACGTAACTCCACCGTGGCAGAGTAGCAATGTGGCCAGTCAAGGCCTTGAGTAAGTCACAGTAGCATCTACCATAGTCAGAACCGTCTCCATCAGGTTACAGACAAACTAGGTCATGGTTCTAGGAGGACAGTTTGCTGCCCACAACAGCTTGCTGAAAGTCACCCCTAGGAAGGACATCTAGGACAGTAGTACACTTCCAACATCAGCCTTCTTCTTCCAGCCACTGAGTTTTTAGCTTTGGCTATTAACTTTCCATTGCTAAGATTTCTATTTGGGTCTTCTTTATACTTTCTTTGTCTTTGCTGAGACTTTCTAGTTTTTCATTTGTTTCAAGCACACATATAATTGTTCTCTGAAGCATTTTTATGTTGGCTGTTTTAACAACTTTGCCAGATAACCCTAACATTTCTCATCTCAGTGCCAGCATCTACTGATTGATGGTTTTCATTCGGTTTCT